GTCCAGTGTATTAGACAGACTTTAGCTGTAGCGGCGCAGTCACGGTGTTACTCACCTATCCAGAAGAAACAAAGCAAGCAGGCCTTCCGGCTCCTTGAGTTCTCTCCAGCGCTGGAAAGCTGATCCGATATTTACACAGGTCCTACTTCTTGCCTTATTGCCTTAAGCCTTCTTTTGTTCCTCAGACATTTTCCTCTTTTGTTTTTTATCGGCCATCTCTATCTTTCTGTTGCTTGGCTCGCTAATGTCTGTCCTGTGCACTAACCCTCTCTCCTCCACATCATGAGTAGACACGCCCCTTACTGCTGATTGGCTACTATTTTTTTTTCTATTCTGCACGAATCAGTTTTCTAAAGCGTTTTTGAAAAATCGCTTACCCCACCTTTAATTGCCAAATTCAATGACACGCCAGACTTTCTATTAAACGATCTGATTTAATGCAAGACAACAGTTTTATTTAGTAAGATCTATGAAGGACATTGCGTTCGGCCCTTTCCTAGTAAACTCTGACTTTGAGCAGCTCCCAGAAGTGAGGAGCTCGTCATTCGCTCTTTCATTGGTTTGTGCTGTTAACCAGCTTCTAGTTTATTAACACAAGTGTTGTTCTCTTCAGGAGGGGCACAGACACATTTACTGGCATTTTAATTCCAGGGCAGCTCGTCAAGCGCTGCTTTAATGAATGACAGGCCGTGGCTGTGAGCGAGATCCGCTCCGCTCCGGGAGTTTATCTGCTGATGCTCGATCTGCTCTTACTGCGTCTGATCAGAGTCTCAGAGATCACGTGATATATATCAGTGTGTGTATGTTGATGGATCATGGATTATGAACACACACACACACACACACACACAGACGTTTAATATATATAAATAATGGAATTGCATAGATGTCTATTGTTTGTGTGTACAGATACAGATATAGTAACCCACACAAACGGATCCAAACGGAAAACTTTCTGCATTTTTATACAGTTTTTACAAACAAGCATGTCCACAAAAGGAGGTTTTGGGCAGCAGTGCACCGAAATTATAGCAACTGAAAATTTTCAGCTGAAACAGCAATTTTTGGTTTCGACAAAATCATTGACTGAAAGAGTGACGCTTCATTAGTCTGTGTTCTGACAGTCAGTGTCTGTTTCATGCATACCTCCAGTAAGCACAAGTTGCATTTTGTTACTTTTAATATGAAACAAAGTCCCAGCTTTCAAATTCTGTCAATTGTATCACTAAATTCAACCAATAAATACTGTTTTGATGCTTTTTAATATGTGCTGACAGAGCATCTCTTCCTCTTTACTACTAGTTATAGCAGCAAATAAACACAAATGAACATCAGAAGAATCAAAACAACCTACTGAAATTCATTTAATGTATGTTTGAATAAATCTTATTACAGACGCCGTTTGATTGTTTATTTTTCCACGACAAAATAGAGCAGAAACCACTCTGTTAGAAGAAAACTGCCTTATGTGCAGTGCAAATGTTTCTACAAGTCAGGTTTTATTTGCGAGGTAATTATTAAATTTTATCAATTTTCGTTTTCCAAAAATGAAGTACTTGCAATTAGAGTATATTAAATTTTGAAATGCTCATAATCAGACTACGGTTACTGTTCTATGGATTACGTGATTAAATATTATTCAGTAAATGATTTGTAATTAATTGATTCTCCATAATTCTTTTTCTTCTTTTAAACTTTTCTAGATTACTACTTCATCATGTAATCTGGAATCAGTAAGAGACTATAATTTGTGAGTAATCTACCCAGCTCTGAGTGCGAGCCACTGCGGATACATCTGAATGTAAAGCATGTTTGTGTCATGCCGATCGTCCCGCAGCAGGTTTGAGCGCTCTGTTTTTCTCCAGAATCTTGTGCAGAAGGATCATGCTCTGATCTGCAGTGATTTGTGGGTAATTTGTTGCACAAGGAAACTGGTGCGTCCCTGAGAGCAGGTGAGGTCAGAGGTCAGCGTGTAAATCAGAGCGCTGTATATCAGTCCGTCCCATCGCTCCGAGGTTCATGTCAGCAGTTCCCCGTTTACCCATGATGCTCAGCGGCGCGATCGATCTCTGGCGTATGTTACGCTCAGCCAATTAAAGCGATCTGCTGATCAGGTGTGTGTTTCTGCAGGCTGAAGTTCAGAAGTGA